CTGCTGAGGGAAGCCCACTCCAGTAAGACGTTTCCTCTGGAAGGTGGAGCAATGTCGTGAGCTAGCACAGCCATCTGAATCATTTAAAAACTGACTGTGGTCACTGGAACTCCCCCCTCTGCGTCTTCCTCACCAGAAGGGCTCCCAGCCTGGCCACTAGCCCCAGTCCAGCTGCAGAGGGAGCAATTACCGACTTTACAGACCCACAGAGACAAGTTCTTCAGAGCACCTCTGCCCACTCACCGCTCTCCTAAGGCAGAGAGGTTCGAAGTCAGGGGGTTTAGTCTGGCTGGAAGAACTGTCTGATGAGCAACATCAAACCATTAAAAGCGTGCCTACGCTTCCTGATGCCCTCCTTGCTTCTCCCAGCAGGACTCAGCACAGCACTGGGCTCTAGGCTCTGGAGCCAACTGCCTTGGTTCCCACCCCACCCTTATCCCTGCTGGTCATGGCCAGGCTGGTCAGTGACTTGGCCTCTCTGTGCGCGTGTGGCTCCACCTTCTGTGGAGTGAGGATAGCACCAGTCCTGCCTCACAGGGCGGTTGTAAGTTAATAACCACAACACTAGGACAGTGCCGGGCATGGGTAAATACTGTGTTTGCTCTTATTGTTAAAAATCCCAGGTAGCTCTGCCCTTCTCATATTATCCTCTCTCAGAAGTCAAAGTTCTCCTCTTGAGTTGTAAATCATGTTTCCTAACCGTATCTTGATTTTTTACTCCTCCAGAAAGGTACTGCTCTGCTGAGGGCTGGCTGCCACCCTCCCGTAGCCTCACCATATTGCAGCTGTCACTGTCTACTAGCATGGGCACCCTCACTTGTCACACTCTGGCTTTTCCTTGTCACCTACTTGTGCCCCTCCCTTATTGCCAAGGTCTACTCTGAACTCCCCTTTTATGAGAAGCCATTGGAATAAAAGTTATCCTTCAAAGCCCAGAGCAAATGGTACCTCTTCCAGAAAGCTTTCCTGGCCTCTTTCCTCTCTCTCCCTTTCTTGGGATTCTTCTCCCATGCTCTGCACCACGTTCCAGTGGTTTGTGTGGATGCACAGGCAGTCTGCACGCTGGACTGTGGTCAGCTTGAGGGCAGGACCCAGTCTACTCTCTATCCACAAACCCACACTCACCAGCCCAGCGTGTGGTATAGAGTAGGTGTGTGATGACACCTGCAGCATGAGTGTCCCGATGTGACTGTGCTCCACTGAGCTGTCCCTGGTGAGCTACTGCTCTCAGTGTATACCTTCTCAGTGGAAATGGGCCTCTCCCACCCCTTCCTCACCCACTTGCACACCTGTAGTGACAGGCCCAGGCCCAGACCTAGTAGAGACCAACCCAGTACCCAAGGCCATAAGGCAATTTATGTGGGCTCAGCCCCCTGCAAGCCCTGGATCTACTTGCCTGCAAGTTCTTAATTAACATATGCTGAGGGCAGCAGTTAGTGTAATGGCTATGTTGCTGGACTCCCATGTAGCTGACCGTGGTTCAAGTCCCGGACCCAGTGGCTTAAACTCACGCCAGGCATGTGTGCGTGCGTGCCCAAGATCCTGAGAGGAGAATGGAGGAGAAGGGATTGCGGAGTGGCCATCCTCCCCCCCGGGGGAGGGGATGATTTCTCTCTTTCTGGTGAACTATAGCAAAACCTCAACAACAACAACAACAACAAATTAACGTATGCTAATCAACCACCTCCTCAGTGCTGTGACTCAGACCCCAGAGCAGAACCACAAAGAACTGCAAAGGGAAATAAGGCAGCTCCTGCTAACAAGGGGTGATCATTTCTAGCTGGGACTGAAGACAGGGTGGGGAGAAAGGCTGAGTTGGGGCTTACTAGGCAAAATGAACAGCTGGAGCAAAAGCTTAGAGGGAAGAGGCCTGGGGATCTGTTTGGGAAGTGGGAAGTAAGTAGTTCAAGATTTGCAAAGGGATGGGCAGAAGATAAAGCAGCCCAGGTAGCTTGGAGCAGAGACTTGGAGCTGCAGAACGACAGGTGAGAGGTTTAAATGAGAGGAGTACCGGCCTTATGTAGGCAGGTGGCAGAAAGCCAAGACAAGCACACAGCTTCAGAGCTCCAAGGTGCCAGACTGGATGCTCTGCCTGTGCTGTCCCACTTAATTGTTCTGCCAACTAATGAACTCATTTTACAGATGGGAAATCGAGGCCCAGATATTTTCTGTAGGTCGTCCCATGTCCACTCATGGAGTGAGGCAGTGCGACTCACTTTTTCTTATAGCCCTCCAGGGCATTCTGGATGCTGCAGAGCTCTGATTCCAGCCTCACACGGTCTCCAGCCACACAGTCCAGCTGCCTCCTCAGGGCACAGATGTAGCCCTCAAAGATGGGCTCGATGTTGCTCTGGCAGCACCTCTGCTGCTGCATGAAGTTCCACTTGGTCTCCAACAGCTTGTTCTTCTGCTCCAGGAACCGCACCTGCAGCCAAGAAGAGGAGGTCACCAGGTGGCAGCAACCCTGGGGACTGGGGCTTGGAGAGGGCAGTGGAACGAGTTTGTATGCTCTGTCTCTATACCCTGTTCCCGAGGCACTAATGTTAGCAAAAACTAGGGTCTCTGCGTAGACCTGCACCCGAGGGTTCGTGTCTGTGTGTCTTCCCTGTCTGGGGGAGCTCAGAGGATCTGCACCTCCCCTTGTGGTGGAAAGAGTACTGCCCAATTCTTGTCTGTCCTGCCTACCTGCCTCCTCTTAGCCTCATGACCTTGACCAAGCCCTCCTATTCCTTCAAGCATCCCTTTGTTTCCCAAAGCTCCTATTTGGGCTTGCATGTGGGAAGGCACTCTGTAACTTTCATACTAATGGAAGGATGTGTGATGCTGGGGACTCCAGGCGCTCTTTTACTATAGCCCAGGGCACTGGGGCAGGAGGTAGGGTCAGATCAAGGGCTTTGCCCTTTGACTCTGCAGGGCTCTCATTACCCACTTTGCTGGGTCTTGTATGGCTGTGTCTACAAAACATGCAGGTCAGTTATGTGAAAAGCTGCAAACCTACCTCTTCCTTTTCTGTGGGTTTGAAACTGAGATTGGGAGAAGTTGAGTGGGTTGACCTTGGTCACCTAGTTAGTCATTGGCCAAGAGAATCTGACCTTCAGTCCCCGCCCTGGGATTTTCCATGTTGTGTGTTGTCTCTCAAGAAAACTGCAGAGGAAGGAAATGTCCTACTGTGGTCAATGGTCACATCGGCATGAGGCTCCCAACCTTATAGAAGGATGAAGAAGCAACTTTGGGATATTTTCATGTGTTTCATCCTCAGAAAGCTTGGACAACTTTCTGTAGGATATCTTCATCTCTGATGGGTTCTCTCTAAGCTATTGTTGAGTCAAGTTCCCAAGTCCAAAGGTTTCATCCAGTTGAAACCCTTTCTAAGTGAAGTAAATCAGCCTGAACTATTTCTGACCTAGATTGGTTTTCCTCGCCTAATACTTTAGAAAGCATGTTGAAACCTCTGCTCTCTCCAGAACCTTCCATACTACGAAATCTAAGTAGAGATCTCTCCCCAGGTGTGTTTTCTAAAGTCCCTGTGAGCCTCATCTAAAACTTCATCCCCTTGTTGATGATCAGGGTCTAGAGGTCGGAATGAGTTTATAACCAGAACTAAATAGGCTTTAAAAATAAACTAATCAAATTCCTTCTTGAACTTTTGCATTTAATAACCTTTCATTCTGCCACCATCTCTTTTCCTTTTCCCCACTAAGCAGCAGAGTCCCTGAGGCCAAGACAGTGGCTTGTTCATGGGGACAGGGGTGGAGCCACTACCAGGACACAGATCTCCTGACTTCTGGCCCAGGACACTTGGCCCTAAACTTTGGGGCTACAGAAACTCTGGCTCAGCCCTTGACATGGAACCTGACCCCAGGAGCTTCTCTGAGGACAGGCCCAGAAACAGTTGAGGGATGATAGGACAGGCCAGTGCCTTCTTAAGGCAGCACCTGGTCCTTCCCTGCAGACTTTCAGAGCTGTGGCTCTGAGACAAATGGTAGCTTGGGTGATGACCGCCCCCCTTCACCCCATGCTCCAGTCCTGACTGTTTTACTGTTTCCTCTCCCTAGGCATAAACTGATGGCAAGTTCTGGGGTCATTGTGCCCATCCTGCCTGTAGGCACAACAGTCCTGCCTCAGCTCAGGCACACGGGAAGTGGTTCTGTTGTTAAAGGGTATTCTCATCAGGAAGGACATTTCTCTAGCTTTTTGGTCATCTCTTTCAGTGTCGCTTTGGAAGTTTCTCTTACAGTCTGACTTCAGGCAACGTGAGTGGTCTTGTTAGGTATTATCCAGAGAGAGAGAGAGAGAGAGAGTGATGACATATTTTAGAAAGGACAGGGCATGTTTAGTGTTGACCCCGATCTAGGCAGCTTTCAATGGCCAGTGGCCATGAAGTGCTGGAGAGGCCAGTGTGAAAACTGTAGCTTCTCTGTTGCCAGCCCCTTCCTGGTCCCCTGGACCAGACATGGGCTGTTCTTTGCAGTGGGTCTCATCCCACAGCTCTGGATCCTCTGGGCCCTGCCCTCTTACCTTATTAATGAAGGATGCAAAGCGGTTGTTGAGGCACTTGATCTGCTCTTTCTCATCCCTCTTCACCCGCTGCACTGTTGGGTCAATCTCCAAGGCAAGCGGGACCAGCAGGCTCTCGTTGATGGTGACTGGGGTGATGCAGGCAGAAGGCCCACAGGTGGCCCCCACTCGGTACCCAAAGCCAGGCAGGCCACACCTGGAAGACAGATGACATATTTTACAAAGGACAGGGCATTTTTAGTGTTGAACCCGATCTAGGCAGCTTTCAATGGCCAGTGGCCATGAAGTGCTGGAGAGGCCAGTGTGAAAACTGTAGCTTCTCTGTTGCCAGCCCCTTCCTGGTCCCCTGGACCAGACATGGGCTGTTCTTTGCAGTGGGTCTCATCCCACAGCTCTGGATCCTCTGGGCCCTGCCCTCTTACCTTATTAATGAAGGATGCAAAGCGGTTGTTGAGGCACTTGATCTGCTCTTTCTCATCCCTCTTCACCCGCTGCACTGTTGGGTCAATCTCCAAGGCAAGCGGGACCAGCAGGCTCTCGTTGATGGTGACTGGGGTGATGCAGGCAGAAGGCCCACAGGTGGCCCCCACTCGGTACCCAAAGCCAGGCAGGCCACACCTGGAAGCGACCCGGGGCCTCCCGAAGCCCACGTTACACAGGCTCCGTGAGCCAAAGCAGCCTAGGGCTCGGTAACCCCCACCACCCCCGGGCCGGCATGGCCCTTTGCTCACTGCATAGTGGGTGACCATCAGGGGCATGACAGCTGAGCATGAGCTGAAACTCCGACTGCCACATCTGGAGCCTGGCTGGAAGGAGCCACACGACATGGCAGGAGAGAGAGGCAGTGACAGGGCCCTGGAAGGGAGAATGGGGCGCGAGTGATCAAGTCATGACAAAGCTGTCCCCTTTTTATCTGGTAAGGGGATGGAGAGCTAGACTGGGTCAAACCCCAAATCACCATTAAATCGGCTTTATGAGCTTGGGGTATTGGCAACTGCTAAGCAGCAAAGTGGGTAATTAGGGTAGCAAAGAGCAGAGAGAAGGAGCTAATAGTCCATGCTAGTGGACCCCATAAAAATTCTATTTCTCCTCCTTCCTTGTTTATAGGAGTGATAAAAGGGGTCAACAGACAGATATGTTTGGTGAATCCAGTAGCTCATCTCAAGGAAAAGGAGAGTTGGGGCTTTTACCTTGTCATAGGAAAGGTGTGGAGGGGCATCATTTACATGCCCTGACTTCCCTGCGATTTGAGGACACATTAGATAGGTTACTGATTTTTAATTTATTCTTAAAGGTGGGATCTTTTGTTGTTCAATATTGGAGAGTCAAGTTATGAACCTGAAACTGAAACTGAGTGTTAGGCACAAGCTCTATTTAATGGCCACGGAATGGAGATGTGGGAGATGAGCTCCCAAATGCACTTTTGCTTGTCTTGAATTGGGCAGTTTAAGATGCAGGAATGGGGTAATGACCATATGGGATAGAGTAATAGAGGCAAGGAATAGTTAAAACTTTTCTTCTTCCTCTTTTCTTCTTCTTCTTTTCTTTTCCTTCTCCTTCTTCTTCTCCCTCCTCCTCCTCCTCCTCCTCCTCCTCCTTCTTCTTCTTTTGCAAAGATGAGCTCCCAAATGCACTTTTGCTTGTCTTGAATTGGGCAGTTTAAGATGCAGGAATGGGGTAATGACCATATGGGATAGAGTAATAGAGGCAAGGAATAGTTAAAACTTTTCTTCTTCCTCTTTTCTTCTTCTTCTTCTTTTCCTTCTCCTTCTTCTTCTTCTCCCTTCTTCTTCTTCTTCTTCTTCTTCTTCTTCTTCTTCTTCTTCTTCTTCTTCTTCTTCTTCTTCTTCTTCTTCTTCTTCTTCTTCTTCTTCTTCTTCTTCTTCTTCTTCTTCTTCTTCTTCTTCTTCTTCTTCTTCTTCTTCTTCTTCTTCTTCTTCTTCTTCTTCTTCTTCTTCTTCTTCTTCTTCTTCTTCTTCTTCTTCTTCTTCTTTCTTCTTCTTCTTTTGCAAAGGCAAGGGCTTTTTGGAATTTCAAACCCACTTCCTTTTCTAAAAAAATTTTTTCTGTTAGGATTTTGTTGTTGTTGTTGTTTGGTAGTTTGGCCATTTCTATGTTTCGCTGTAGGCCCTCCAGAACCAAGTGCCCTCCATGGGATCCTAGGTGATCCTAGAAGTTCCCAGGGAGGAAGGCTTTTGGGGTTAGAGAAGCAGATGCCTGAGGCCCCATTACCTCTCTATTTCCTCCTCTTTTTCATTAATCTCTTTTGTGCACACTGCTGGCTTGACTGACCTTTCCCTTCCACATTGACATTCCCAGATCAAAACCTAGCCATCGGTAATACTAGTAACACCTATTGGCTGTTCTTCCTTTTCTGGGAACACTCTGAGTTCTTCAAATCATGATCTCGTTTAATTCTAGGACACTCCGTAGTTTCAACCTCACAGGTAAGACAAATGGGGAGTCAGAGCTGTGTCCACGGTAAGGCTGGGACTCAGTCTTATTCTCCTGACTTCACTCTGTTCTCCTGCTCTGGTGGACAGAAGCCTGGGTTAGGATTGGGAATATGCAGCCAATATGCTTTATGTCATGTTTCTCAACTTTCCCGCTCGTTGATTAGGCAACTGGAATTTAAGGGTTCTCAGACAGTCTCAGTCTAATTGTGATTTTTCACAATGTTTCCTTTTTTATAGTCTTGGCTCTGGGACCCAGACTAGTGGGGAGGTTCGGGCAAGGGTGGGAGGCAGAGGTTGGGGTGGGGAGAGATCCCATCGCATGGAGTTTCTCATTCTGTCCTGGAATGAGTCCCATAGAGGTGGGTCAGGTTGCTGAGAAGCCAGAGCACAGAGAAGATTCCTACTGGGGGAATGAGTGAAATAACTGGCTGAACTGTGAGAACAGGGGCCACTGAAATGATGTGGACACAGCCATCTCCAGGCCAGAGGATGGTCTCTCTGCAGCCCAGGACCAAAGCCCAGTCCTGAGCAGGAGGATGGTCCATTGGATTCATTGTAGGTGGGAAGCACTTCTTCCCAGAGCCCTCCAGCCCCACGTGCCCTCTGAGTGTCAGATAGGACAGACTCAATCAAGACCTCAAGAGCTCAGTGACGTTTTATTGAAGCGATTTTAGGAATGAGGCAAGCACAAGGGAGCAGGCTGTTTTGAAGGGTGATGGGTCATCTGTACTTATGATCTTGAATACATGGCAGATGTTTTGAGGGTGTGCAGCTCTTTGGACTAAACAGGGAAACCATTCCATAAAGGCCAGCCTCCAAAAAGGCCTCCATGCCCACTCCACTCCCTATTCCACCTTCATCCTCCCTCTGTCTCCTTCTAGGAACTAAGCCGCATGTGCCTTCAGGGTGAGGAGAACACCGAGGGAAGAACTGTCTCTCTGGAGTTTGTGATCTCAGGTCTTCCCTGTGGCACAGGGAATTCGGTACATTGGCTTAAAAAGCTCTGGTTCTGGCCAGGGATGGAGACAGGCAACACATCCACATGGAATAGAGACATTTCACAGACAGGGAGAGAGGGAAAGAAAGGGTGGAAGGGAAAAGGTAGGAAATATATTCCCAAATGGGAAGAATAGGGGAGGAAGAAAGGAGAAATAAAGGTTAGGAGGGAAAGAAGGCGGGTAGAGAGAGGAGGCACACAGGGATCATGTGGTAGACGACGAGAAGACAAAGAATTGAGGGCAGGAAAGAGGATAAAAGAGCAAGGCAAAAGGGAAGAAAACTTCCCAGAAGGGAGACGTGGCTAGCACAAGCCTCTAGGTCTGGGACTTGAACCATGGTTGGCCGTGTGGGGGTCCAGTGCCTTAACCACCATTCCAACTGCTGGTCCCTCTGCCAGGGCAAGTCTTAATGCAGGTTAAAAGGTTTTGTTTTTCTGGTGTCTCTCCTACAAGTGTTTTGGAGTGAGCTGCCTTTCTTGCACCTGCACATAAGCCTGCCGCCTGCCACTCACCCTCAGGACACTTCTGTGTAGGGACAGCTAAATTCCAACCCTGGCTTCAATGGGGCCGACCTGGAAAGCATTCGGCTCTGTGAACTATCATTTAATGTAGTCCCAGGCCAAGGAGAGCTTTTGGGTTCCTGATACAGTCCTTGTATTCTAGCATGAAGAATCAAGAATTGTTAATGTTCTGAAGGGTATTGATTTCTCATTCAGTTAGTCTGCTGGTAGGAGTCAAGGGAAGTGGCTGGGCCTAGGCAGGGACAAGAAAGAAGGAGGTGAGGAGGCAATATGTGTGGCAGAGTTTGCAACGACATTTTCTGGTCTGAGAGCCCACTCAGAAGTGTTCTGCTTGTGGTGAGAAACGGCACACGTGAAAACTCTGGCTTAGGTTGTGCTCATCTTTGGGGCACCAAGGCCAATGCTAAATCGTGTGGTTGCAGAGGGTCTGGTCAGACAGGAAGGGAGGAAGACCCCACTGCATGCCCTACTCTGGAAGCTGCCTCAGGGAAAAGTCCTAGCCAGGTCTTGGCACAGAGCAGTTGAGTCAGTGTTGCTTGGCATGGATGCCTATGGATCCTGGAGGGCTCTGAGGTCAGGAGGGATCAGGTACTTCTGTGGGACCCGTCTGGAGGCAGACGGATGGACAAAGCGACCTTGAAACTCTCAGGTCACTTCCTGCCGTGGGGTTTGCGCATAGGATGTCAGCAAAGCGTCAGGCCTGAGTGCTGGGAGCTGGGGGCTTGCAGCTGAGGCAGGTGGGCACTTTAGCTCCGGTAGCTCTTCTTGGTAGACGACGTCTTGGAGATGATGCGCATGCTGGAGCTGCTGCTGCCCAGGCTGCGGCCGCTGGTGGGGCTGCAGCCGCTACCCCCGCC